CCGTCACCTGTGACTTGTCGCTTCTCTCCTCCCTCCTATTCTGTGACGCTGGGCACTGGCGAGCAATTATGATTGTTTCTGTACTAACTAAACAATTAAGGCAATTCCTCAGCAGTAGCAATGATTAAGAACTTTCGTCTTCATTTTTACTGTATGTTAGAGAATTTAGGTCTGAAATCCGAGATGGTTGGGAGGAGTCTTAGAACTCAAACATCATATTTTATCATTGTACAGCACATCGTCCCAGAGAACAGAAATTAAAAAGAAAAAAAAATTAAAAAAAAGGGGCAATATCCATTCATTATTGCGGCTTTTTAGAGACTAAAAATGAGCTGGATTTGTCCCGCATTTGGTGGCCAAATGGCCACCCCTTGCAAGGGACGTGCGTGATGCGTAGGATTATAAGGACTTGGGATCAATTCCAAGTCCCCCATTCCCCTTTCCCCCAAGAAAAAAGATTTTACACTGTTCAAAAAATAAAAAAAAAAAAGCTGAATTTTAAACTTTAGAGACTAAAAAGGAAATTTTCACAGTATAGAGATCAAAAAGGTGTTTTTTCAATGGTAAAGGGATCAAAAAGGATATTTAACCTTTTCAATTTTTGAAGTACTTATTCCCTTGATTTTTCTTACTTAATCCACCCAAATCGAAGTTGTAACCTTTTTAAGTGCGTATTTCATTTTAAACCTTTAGGTGATTTTGAACACAAAATTTGTAGTAATTTAGTTGGTTAAATTTGGAATTTTAATAAATACTTAGATGACCATTACTAAGAGTACTTAATTTACTTGCACTTTTTATAAAAGACATTTAGATAAGCAGTTTGATGTAATGAATTTTTTTCCTTGTATGCTAGCGGCAGGTGAGGATCTTTATTAATCAAAACTCCTGAACAAACAATTGGTTTGATTGATCTAACGCTGTGTTGTTGGATAAAAAAAAAATTTTAATGGATTTTAACTTTTCTTCTGTTAAAGGAAAAAATGTGCTTGTTTTAGGAGTGAAGAAAAATGAAACTTTATGCAGGGCTTACTAATTAATAACCCTTCCAATAACCATTCCTCGTATGCATCAGCGCATGAAATAGACATTTAACAACATATATAACCATTTGAACAAAAGGCTATATTTATATACACCACTTTGATGGGCAGGACAATCATACCATCTGCTTTGCTATGCAGATGGTATAAAAACAAAGGGAAAAGACCGCTACAAGCATTAGAAGAGGAAAAAAAAATGATCATTACTTAGATATCATCCCATTTGCTTAGCTCTGCAGGTTAGTTTGGAAAAAGACTATTACAAGCATTAGAAGAGAAAAAAAATGATCAATAATTAGAAAAAAATCCCATCAGCTTTGCTCTGCAGTTTGGTATCAGAACAAAGGAAAAAGACCATTACAAGTATTAGAAGAGAAAAAAAATGATCATTGATTAGAAAATCATCCCATCTGCTTTGCTCTGCAGGTTGGTGTCAAAACAAAAGAAAAAGATCATCACAAGCATTAGAAGAGAAAAAAAAAAAAGATCATTAATTAGAAAAAGGGGAGCATACAAAAACACCATAAACTTTTTACACACCTTTCAGGAACATGTATTCTTTGATTGTGTAAATCAAGAAATATACGCTTCCGAAAGTAAGGCATGTCCTTTTGAGAAAAGGGGAAACCAATGCAATTGGCATGTGTAAGGCAATCCGCATACTTCATTACAAAAATGCCACAATCAATCCCACTGCCTCGTCAAAATTAAACAAAAATTAACACTACAATTACCACATAAGATCATAACAATAATAATCCATGGAATAAAAACTAACCAATGGCAAGTAATAAAGATTAATTACTTAGTAAGGTGACTCACTTCTGCTGCTTAGGAATATCTGCTGGAACATCGAGAGGCCAATTCGTAGCACTGTTCAGGCCCATGGCAGGCAATAAAGTATTTTCAAACCAGCTCTTAATTTGTTTTAGAGTAACACTGGGCACTTCTGTAGTATCTCTAAGTGAATTCAACCATACAAATTTTTGATACTTGATGTCGACATAGAAAAGAGTCCAATGATCTGACAAACAAAATGGTAGAAACAACTACAATGACAACAATATTAGCAAATCTTATATATGTAGTTATATTTATTAATAAGCTTATAGGGCAGTACAAATAAAGAGCTAGCTAGAAAACTTAGATAATTAATACCTTGCATGTATTGATTTGTTTCTCAGGAGTGATCCAACTTGGCACAATAAGCTCGTGTCCATTAAGCAAGAAACTCTGATTTTTTTTAATAAAAAAATCAATATGAATTAACACATCATATTTCTAGGTGGTGTTTTCGATATATTATAAATTGATATCTTTATAAGTTAATTATTGTATTAATTGAGACTTAAAAGT